CCTTGACCTGCTGGGCTCAAGCGATCCTTCTGCCTCAGCCTTCCAAGTAGCTGGAACTACTGGTGCACACTACCCATGCCCGGCTTATTTTTGTTTTTTTTTAATTGTAGAGATGAGGTCTCACCAAGTTGCCCAGGCTGGTCTTGAACCCCTGCGCTTAGGCAACCCTCTCACCTCAGCCTCCCAAAGCAGTGGGATTACAGGCTTAAGCCACCATGCCTGGCCTTACCCATCTGCCTTTTTAACAAAAGGAGAGCAGGCCTCAGGCTGAGGCTTGAGGTAGCAACAGTGACAAATTAGAATTCAAAAACACAGACCAGGTGAATGGCTCATGCCTATCATCCCAGCACTTTAGGATGCCTAGGTGAGAGGATTGCCTGAGCCCACGGGTTCAACACCAGGCTGGGCAACTTGGTAAGACCTCATCTCTATAATAAATCCAAAAAATTAGCCAGGCATGCTGGTGCATGCCTGCCATTCCAGCTACTGGAAAGGCTGAGGCGGAAGGATCACCTGAGCTCAGCAGGTCAAGGCTGTGGTGTCTGGGGGTGTGTCACTGTACTCCAGCCTGGGTGACAGAGTGAGGCCCCGACTCAAAAAAGAAAAAAAAAAGAATTCAGTAACACTACTATATTTCCTTTATCGTAAGGGATGCTGGCTTTCCATTTATAGAAGTGATGTTTATTTTGAAATTACTTAACAGTTAGCTGATTTAAAGAAATTATTAAGCAATTCATGAAGCTAGATAGATTGGTGGTTACCAGAGGCCTGGAAGGGTAGGGAAGAAGGGAGGTTGCAGAAAGGTAAATTAATGGGCACAAAGATACAGTTAGATAGAAGAAATAAGATCTAATTTAACAGATGAATAGGGCAACTATAGTTAACATTAATCTAGTATACATTTAGAAATAGCTAGAAGAGAATAATTTGAAAGTTCCTAGCATAAAGAAAATAAATATTTAAAGTGACGGATATCCCAATTACCTTGATTTGATTTTTACAAATTATGAATGTATCAAACTATTAAAAATAATGCAAATATAAATAGCATATAAATAAGTGAAAAAAAAAAGCCATGCAAATGTCAAAAAGGTGGCAGCCACATAACTTGGATGTGTATCGCATGGCCAACAGAATTTCCAAGCACACAGTCCTACAACCCAAATACAGTTCCTGTGTCTACTCCCAATACAAAACCATGGCAACTCCAGCCTTCTCTGGGTCAAACCTGTGACTGGGGACTACAGGGAAAGCTGCTTCCCAAAGATCCAGTCCGTAAAATGTATGAACTAAATCCTACTTTACATACTACGAAAATTTTTTTTGTAGAAAAATTCTCACATCCAGTGTGTTAGCAAATCACTAACACACCTAAGGCCTCAGTTGGCTGCTCTACACTGGAACTACTCAAGGAGTTAAACTTACACATACTTAAGGACAGGAATAGGCAGCCACAGCCTACGTACCCCAATCCCTTACAAGAGACAGGCATCCCACCCTGAAGGAAACTCCCCAAACCCAACTCTGATGAGCTGAAGGGTCAGCATGGGACTATAGGGCACAAGAGTTGGGTTCCGATCCCTACTTAACTGATCCCAGGCATCACTGCCCTCTAGCCCCTGGTATCCTATCTCTGAACTAAGGCTTTAGGTCTTTTTTTTTTTTTTTGAGTTGGAGTCTCACTGTCATCCAGACTGGAGTGCAGTGGCCGCTCCTGGCCACCGCAGCCTCAACCTGCTGGGCTCTAGCGATCCTTCCGCCTCAGTCTTCCAAGTGGCCAGAATTATAGGCATGCACTACCACACCTGGCTGATTTTTTGATTTATTGTAGAGATGAGGTCTCACTGCCCAGGCGGGTCTCGAACCCGCGGGCTCAGGCAATCCACTCACCTCAGCTTCCCAAAGGCGCGGGATTACAGGCTGAGCCACCGAGCCCGGCTTGGCTTTAGGTCTTAACAATCTCCAAGTGAACAGCAGACTGGTTAAGAGCTTGGGCTCCATCCTAGCCTACTCCAATTGTGTGACTCTGGGCTGCACTTCTGCCTGTTGAGACTTCACTGCACACTGTTGTAGATGGGAAAGTAACACCTCTTGTAATAGCACAAGGCCCTTAACACTGGCAGCTTCAGGGGAAGTTCCCACCCTGCCCTAGCCTTAGGCTGGGGTGATTCCCTCTAGGTGGTGGGTCTTCACAGAGCAGCAAAATGCATACAGCACTCCTGCTGGCCAAATCCTTTCATGACAACCTCTGAGGAAGGAAGAGGAGCTCCATCTCTCCATTTCACTCAGGAGTCTCAGAGCTGAGTTCAGTGCAAGGCCACTTAAGTAACCAAAGTGATGCTTCTGGGGCTTGAATCCAGGCCCTTATGGATGCAAGCTGCTTATCACCTGCTTTGTCCTGCAGCCTCTGGGCCCACAGCTGCTCCATTCCTACTTTTCACAGGTCACAGGTAGGGCTGAGTTCTGAGTTCTTTGGTTGGAAAATGTCCCAGCTTACCCACAGGGAAAGCAGAGGCCCCAGGCAGAGAGCAAAAATAATCAATATCTTGGCTGTTAATCTGACCATGATCTTCCTAAGGAAATAAATATCCAGGGCAATGTTGTAAATTAGCTTGCAGGCCCTTCTGGGGTAAATCCACCTTTGTTTCTCCTTATGACCCATGGCCCTGTACTCTTCCTCCTGCAGAAAAGTACAGTGGTACTACAGAAAGAACACTGGACTTGGGAGTGTGACATGTGGCTTGGTCACATACCTGCAGCATTGTGATCCTCAGCCATTTAATTAGCCTCTCTGAGCCTGTTTCCTTGACTTATAAAATGTAGCCTAAACCTAATAACCCAGGTAATACGATGACATATACAGAAGAGCCCAGCACAAGCCTAGCCCTGCACACATGAAGAGACAGGCTTCTTGCCTAGAACACAGGTCTGTCTCCCTGACTTCAGCTTTGATATGGTAATATGCACTGGGATTTCAGGGGGAGAGGAACATGATGACACCCTCAACATTCTGAACACATGATACCCCTACTTTCCTCACAGAACACATGGAAAGACTAGTGTCCAGTGAAAGCCACTTTGGAAACTGGGATAGAAAAATCTGAACTGTGCTTTGCACTTGTCAAGGAGGGACATCATTTGATGTAACTCTTTTTTCTTTTTTGAGTTGAAGTCTCACTCTGTCACCCAGACTGGAGTACAGTGGCAGCTCCCAGCCACTGCAGCCTCGACCTGCTGGGCTC